TGATTGATTGATTGATTGATTGTTTGGTTAATCGATCGATTGACTAATCATCTAACTAACGTACATACTAGCTAATATGTTGGAATGTTCGACTGTCAATTTCTGACGGACTGACTCGATCAATCAAGCAATCAATCAATTATCTAGTCAGTTAGCCAGTCAATATGTCAGTCAGTCACTCACTCAGGTCAGTCAGTCAATCAGTCAGTCAGTTAGTTAGTCAGTCAGTCAGTCAGTCAATTAATCAATCAATTATCCAGCCAGTTAATCAGGCAATCACTCAATTAGTCAGTCAGTTAGTTAGTCAGTCAGTCAGTCAGTCAGTCAGTTAGTCAATCAATCAATCAATCAATCAATCAATCAATCAATCACTAACTGATAACACGATTGTCTAACGCTGTCACAGACTCACCACACATTCAGGCCAGCTTACCTCTTGATCTGAGACCAAAAAGGATTGGAAATCTTCCGCTGTCATGTGCGCTCCGTTTGATGAATACTGCTTCATTAGGTTCACAATCTCCTTTCTTGTCGATATCGTTTTAAAGAACGCGGCAAACTCATCTTTATCCAGGGCCGCATCGCCATCCGTGTTCACCTCCTAAGCAATTCGCAAAAAGAACGTAAAACTTTTCAAGACAAGCTTTATTACTAGGGAGAGTTCTTCCTTAAATTTTTAATGGGCGAGTGCAGTGCATTTTGTGAACCTTTTACCCCATTTCAGATCAAAAAATGGGATTGTCCGTACCCTATTTCAAAACCTGGCGCAAAAATTGACACCAACTTTGAAACCTCTAAAATAAATACACCCGTCTAAATCATTGACAAGACTGGCTTCCGTTTACGTGAAAATTTAAGAATGGCTTCAAATTCTTCGATTTTAGTGGAGAAAAATACCTTCACCTGAACAACATACGCAATTTTAGTAAGTAGGCCAGACTGCACGCAAAACAAATCTTACCTCAGACCAAAACGGCTCGAGAACTACAGATACCCCGGGAATGTCTTCAATATTATTTTTCCTTCTAGTATGTAATAAATTACGTTTAAGCAGAGTTGCATTAATGAAAGATTGAAAATGTAAGTGTTGCAACGAGTCTTATACTAAGGTTGCATACACGTATAGAATTGAACTCAGAAGGGTACGAGATACGGGGGTGGGGCTACAGCCTCCCAACTACCGAAATTATGACATTTTTCGGGCAAAATTTGAGACTGCCGATAGAGGCCATTCAGTATGTAAGCTTTCAATGTAACTATTTTTGGAATGATAGCAGTTTAATTAGATGTGAGAACTGTGGACGTTTTTGTTTTTCATGCAATTGCAACTCGATTTCAACACTCACGCATTTGGGCATTGCGTATGTTTTCGGGCAAGGCCCCCANCCCACCCCAAGTCCGAAGATGCCCGTACGCCTACGACTGAACTTGTAAATCTCGACGTCACACTTAAATTTAACCAACCTAGCTGAAATATAGATATTTTCTCTCTCTCACCTTAAATTTCTTTTTCACTTGTCCAGGGCTCATTTTCACGTTCAAAGCTTCCACTAATCTCTGGATTTCTTTGAGTCCTAAGGAGCCATCTTTATTCTTGTCGAATTTCTCAAACGCTTCCACAAGCCACGTGAATTGTTGTCAAAGAAAATTAACAAACGTAGATCATAGAGCGATAAAGGTAACTAAAAACAAATGTGGCACGTTTAATCACACTAAGAAATTCAGTTTCCTCCTCTGCTCGGAACTGAACGAAAGAAAACCAATTTCAAGTAGGCATGATTTCAAGGAGCTCATTCACGGTATTTTGAGTTATTTTGGCCACGTAAAAAATTACCTTTAAATTGAAGGAAACCTGAAAAATATGGTTTACTAAGATAGGAAAACATCAAAGATATATATTTAAATCATAGGGAAACAAGGATGGTTAAGGATGGAGAAGATTAAAAAGGTTTACAATCGACTAACTTGCAAAATTAAGGCTAAACTTTTCAAGATGTGCAAACTGTGACGTAGCTCCTCAAGTTATTACGGGGCATCTTGATCACTTCAGTGTAGCGCGTATAAATCTCTCTTAGTGCTAATTTTGCCGTCATTTGGAATAAAAATTTCATTGTTTAGGAACACCTTGCTTGGTCCCACTTGGAAAGCTACGGAAAAGGTTACATAACAGCTTAAAAAAGATATTGAGCTCGCTGCTCTTTGTCCTCCTTCTCGAGGTTATCTAAAGCAAAGGAAACAAAAAATAATTAACACTAAAATTATGATTGCTTTACTCCTTTATTGCTTTCGATCGAAGTATCAAAAAATGTGCCTTTAACTAATTCTTCTTTGGAATGCTCGAGTTTTGAAAAGTTTGCACTTTTTCGCTCAGTCAGGATAAGATTATAAGCTTGGTTTCGGAACAGAATCGTAAAGTCACGAATAAACCGCTCCAAAATACTGTATACATACTGCAAGGCCTACTACATCAGCGAGACCGGCAGAAATTTAAACTTAACCAGAGACTGACCGAACACAAACGAGCGACAATAAAGGCTAATGTCAAAACTGACATAATCAACTTACAAACCATAGAATTGACTGGATCTGCTTAATCCTTCAGTGCGAACTATTTGGAAGGCACGACTGACTCTGTTAAACCATTTTTAGAATCTTAAGCTTTTAGAAGAAACGCGTCTCAACAGATGTAACAGCTTCCGGCACAAGACCTTACAGACGACTTCTCCACGACGTAAACAAAACCGATGGACAGAACTCAAAAAGAGCGACTTAATTTGTCGCGATTGAATAGAGAGATACGGACTAAAACATATTGCGACGTCAAACTTTAAACGAAGCCCCGTTCACACTACGCCAGAGAAATTTGAAACGGCAGCTTTATTTCTACGGTCAGGCCTACCGTCCACACTAATCCCTCACGAAAACGAAGCTTTTCTAAAATGCTCTTCAAACCGGAGGAATTGAAAACCGCTCGCTTTGCGTTTTCGTGTGCTAACGGAAAAAACGTTTTGAAAACGGAGCTTTTCGAAAACGTCGAAGTTAGGATAATCATGTGATTTCCCTGCCTTCCCCGAGTTTTCCTCGAACACAAATCCAGAATGACCGGTGATTGTTGCGTTTTCAAATTTCTCCGGCGTGGCGTGGACGGAAAACATTTGTTGCGTTCTCACAGGGAATACGCTGTTTTCAAATTTCTCCGGGGTACTGTCGACGGGTCCCGAGTTTTTGAACCAACATACCATCCCCGATGAACTGACCAATAAGTTTCACAGTTTCAACGGACCAAACTCATAATAACACCGACTGAAAAACACTTTTCACTTGACTCTTATTGTTGAGAGTTTGATGTCGAGAAAACTTTAAAAAAGTATATAAGGGTTATTGACCAAGCGCGAGTTCAAGATGGCTGAAAATTGGCCAAGTTCTTTTTTTTGCGTTATAATGACGGGCAAAACGGAGTCGAGGTCCATAAACACGCAAACAAAGAAAGACACCGATATCCAGGCATCTTGACCGAACAATGATTGTCAATAAAGGATTTTTTTTATAAGGGATAAAGAACACCCCCCAAAAAAAGGTTTTCGGGAAACGTTTTCTTGCGGGACACAGAGGTATAGCGCTGTCTTGCGCGGTCGGGCAGCCAAATCACAGCGCAGGATTGTTTCATCTTTTCATACTCTTGAATACTGAGGATTTAACGACAGTTCTTAAAATCTAGACGATCATTTCAGTACTTCAACCGAGCCTCGAAGGCTTTGAAAATGACGTCACCTCCGAAACGTGACAAATATGCGTGACCTTTTTCGTGAACGATAAGCGGATTTAACGAAGTCCTCGGTGTAACGAACGATATTCTTCGTCTGAGTATTAAATAGCAAAATATATGGAAAAGAACCCCGATACAACGAATCCTCGTTATAGCGAACATATTTTACCAGGCCCTTGACCTTTCATTATATATATCGAGGCTCCACTGCATTTATAATCCAACATTGACGAGACTGGAATCGAGCTGTTAATTTCTGAATTATTTCAAGTTAAATTTCAAACGATTTTGTCCGCTGTTTGGCGTCGTTATGCACCGTTTAATGTCTTGTAGCTCCTTGTGTAACGTTTTCGGAGTTTCTCTGTCGTTTGCTAGAAAATTTCGAATGAAACAAGTCGTACGATGGATTTGCGAAGCCAAATTAGTAATGACCTTACGAATTGTGCTAAATACACTTAAACTCTGATGCCTGTGGGACAGTTTCAAGACTTAAACGAGGGAAGTTCCACTCACCATCCATGGTTGGGGAATTAGCGGGGAATACGCTAATTTGAAGTGATAATGTAAACGCCAACAAACCATGAACGGTGGGATCTGCTCTCAACACTCAGTGCTGGTAACTTGACCTTCATTGTGTATTCACAGGCAGACCACTCTACGTGTTCGTGGTTAATAATTGTTTATACGAAACAAACAGAATCTGCGAGAGTTATGAATAAAGCTTTGAAAATTGCATATCTAAATTACATCTCGGTCTGAATATCCCAATAAAGTTAAATGAAACTTTAATCGACTCATGTGTGGTGTTTTTTCGCCTTCCTGGGCCGTCTGAAGCGTCTTTTTACAAAATTACTTTTGGCCGGAGACCGTTTCATATAAACCATTTTTTACCACGAACACATAGAGTGGTCGGCCTGTGGTGTACTAATTCAAGACCCGTGATGTACGTTCAGTGGAATTTATATCCAGTTGCAGTTGACAGCTTTGTCTTCCGTTCCGAGATTATCACTTCTCGAGGTTATTAAATAAGGCTATCAAGGTTAATTCCCAACCTCATGTTCTGAGAACATGACAGAGCTATAGAGACCTTTGCCTAAGAGCGGTATTGCGTTACAAGGATTTGAACCGTTCGAAGGGACCAAACCGTTCCCCCCAGCGGGGTGGGGGGATTACTCTACAAAGTTCTATACGGGGAGGCTCCGCCCCGAGGTCCGCCCCCTTACTCTTTTTTATTCCCATTTCCCCTTCAGTATACCTTTCATTGAAAAAAGGTACCCCTTTCAAATACTTTCATAACATACTTTCAGGCCCATATTATGAACAAATCGCCCAGAAACGAAGTTTTCGTGTCATTTTCATGTAGTGCCCAATAAATGAAATGATACAGCCATAACGTGCGCCTGTTCAAAATATTTTAATTTAATGCCGTTTTAAATAACTAAACAAACAGATTTCCATACCCTAGTACCCTTTCATATACTTCAACTTGTGAAATCCCTACCCTGTTATACACCTGAAGCCAGAAAAAGGTACCCTTTTCGGTCGGGGCCTCCGCGTATAGACCATTATAGGGAGGAGCTCCTCGGAACCATTTCATTCTTAATCGTATAAATTCGAATATTTTGTGAATACAATCTAATTACCTGTTGCTGTAGCTGTCTGTTTGTAATATATTTATTTTGTTATTTGACCTCATCTCTGGCATATTCTCTTGCTCTGGCTTCATAAAGTTCTCAGCGTTTTTCTGCTCGTCCGGTACATTTTCGTCGAGAGTCAAACCCTACCGTATTGCCAACAGGCTAATTGTCTACAATTGAGAATTTGTTTGTCGACACTTACCTTTATTAATTATAAGCTTCCGAAGTCCTCTCACCCAATAGTCGGCCACTTCACTCGACTCAGCCACCATGTTTAGAGCTGCGCCGTTGCCATTTTGACCAAATTTAATGGATATACATCTGTCTAGCGAGTGCTTTTTCAAGAATCCCTGGAAAAGGTCTCTCACACTGTCCCCAGACAATACATCTGTCATTTTGGCAATCTCGACTGAACAAAAAAAACAGTAAACAAAACAAACAAACAAACAGGCAAGACAAACAAACAAACTACGTGTCAAATTGTTAGCAGTCTCTCTCTTTTCCTAACGTGAGATGCGAATACACGAAAAGCAAAAGAAAAACGATCGAGCGACGAGAAGCGAGCCCTGTTTCGCCTCAACCCCTTCTCGCTTCTTTCTCTAATATTCATAATTTCAACTTTTCTAATCGCATGAAGGATTTCACGAACAAAAAGCGACTGCTGGTAGTCTAATCATATGTCTTGTTTTCAAAGTTACAATCCTTCTCTGTGCCACACTGTTGAGAAAATATCTTATTCTCTAATATTCTCCAATAAGACTATCCCCCTCAACTGTGTTGTGCTGCTTAGTTATTAGGTTCAATTTGAAAATAATTTCATTGAGTGCAACCTATCTTTTGCTGATGTTTTTAAAATTAAAGTTTAATATTTTGCCATATAACGTGTACAGGCATTTTTTGGGACACCTTTTTACTCTGCAGTTTTCTTGTTCCTAAAATACGAATTACTTCTTTGAACATCATCTTTTCCACTGTTGAATTAAGCACTTCGTCCAAGGCTCTGTGATAAGAAAGGCGTCATTTTGTATTATCTAATCTCTCCCCCAAGGATTTTCAACATATTCTCCATGGTTATCGAAATACGTTTTATGGTAATCTCAATTAATAGGTCAGCAATGCATAAAAAGATTGACAACTCTGACGGCACTTAACAGTTACAGGGACTTAACACATGTGCGCATTGCAGACCTATTTTTCTACATGTGAACGTTGCACAAATTTTCCTGCTGTTTGCCAAATAATAGTTACGGAATAAATGGTACGGTAAATAACAATTACTTGTAGTCTAAAATTACCAGAAGTTATTAACTTACATCTTGAGTTCTTCTTTGAAGGTTCGTATCTAATTCCTGCCATATCTGCGTCAAGAACAAAGGTTTTCTTGTGATGACCTTTTCTGTTTACATCCAGTTTGATCATTCTGGATCCATGTTGCATTGCTTTCCAGCAGTCTTGAACTAATAAAATCATGTTTGGAAAATATCAAATGATAGTAAAAATCATTATTGAATTGGTTCATTGTTTTTTTAATTACAGAAATAAATGAGCAGAAATAGCAATGTTTTTTTTTTTTTTATGTTTTTTAATTTTTATTGAAATCTCAAGGGAAATAATAAGATACAAATCATAAGAATATAATAGGGCCATATATAATTATGTGAAGATAAATAAATATATTAATTAACTGATCAAAATAAATAATTACATAATAAATAACTTTTCACGTTGTTATTGCAAGATAGTCGTGTGTCGGTATGTAGATTCGTTGATATGCAGGTTACGTAACCATACTAAAAAGTGAATATTTAAGGAGTTTGTCCTTTGGGAGTTTTCACTTCATTTTAGTAAAATTTGCGTCTTTTGTTGGTACATTTGTTGTATTAAACTATACTAGCGCCGTTTATGTCTGTTCAATAAACGAGATACGTCATCTTATAAAACTGTTTTTTCTTACTTGTACTAAGTTATAACTTTTTTGTTTTCGTTTCACTGCATACTGATTAGACAACAAAAGAACATATAAATGAACAGTTTTAACTACTTATTAACCGAGAGTGAGGTCTTTACAGGAAAATCTCACACCGAGACCTATCCGCATTGACTGAGCGATAGCGAAGTCAATACGACAATGTCGAGGTTTGAGATTTTCCCGGTAAGACCGAACGTACGAGGTTAATAAGTTGTTTATTATATGGCTTTTTGCTTTGCAAGTCCCTAATTGGCCCGTGGGCATTACGGGAGAATAATGCTCTACAATAAGTCCATCGCAGCACGCGTTATATCGGCTAAAAGAACAAGCCATATAATAAACAGGTTTAAGGCATGTCTTAAGATAAGTCTTAAAATTGGGCTCAAAATCAGCTGGTACCACTGTTCAGATTTGCCACTGGTCTTTTAAAGCATTTTCTCTCGTTGCATGGCGTGAAATATGTCATTTGCTCTTTCTGTTAAATAATTCCAAGTGATTATATTTCAACATCGAGTTTTTAGTCGCATAAGGAACATTACCTCGAGACTGGAATAAGTATATCTTAGAGAGCAGTGCTCTATGTAAGCCACACCCTTTGAAGGCAGAAGAAAATATTTGACGCGTTTAATAATTCAAATCGTGACATAGAACACGGAATCTTGTCTATCTTGCTTGCCACCAGTTCAAGACATAATTGTGAGTCCGTTTGTTTAAAATACCAGTTACCTGCTGATAATCTCTAGATTTTTTAATCAAACTTAGATGGCGTTTTATTTATTTAACTTTGAATGCCTTTGTGCAATATTTACATTAGAAATATTAAGAAAACAAAAAAAAAAAGGTTTTGTTTGCGATCTTATGGGAAATTTATTCTCTGAGGCTGTCTTCCCTTGTAGATAAAATAAAAGCACTCAATTCTAATGGACTGTAAAACTGCTCTTTAAGCCTAAAACCGACACCATTAACACCTAATTAATGTAAGTTTATATATTTTGCCGTGTGCCAGTCTAAATGTCAAAAGTAATGTCAGCAATGTTCAAGCTCATTTCGCAAATAATCCGGCAAAAGAATATTGAAGTAATGACGAAGCATCGTCTCTTTGTCACAAAATCCCAACTATTGTTCGGTTGTGTTTCCATTATTCCACGTACGACTTCCACCAGTCACAGAGGATTGCGTGACGCGAACTTGAGGTATTTCTAAACAGTATTTCGAATTCTTTCATTAAAACTTTTAAAAGACCTTATACTTTATTTGACATATTAAGTATTCTAAAAGTGCGACGTCCCTTGTTCCTAAAATTCGTGTGAGTGTGTACAATGTAAAAACCTTTTACTACCAAACGATTGTGAAACATCAAGCTAGCAGAGCTGATAATTAAAATATGTAGTTGATATAGATCATTTTCGAGGCTTTCTTTTACTTTCAGAGTGATGAATCATTTTATTGCTGGTTTGCTCCACACCAGATGAAGTAATTTTTTGAAAGAAATTTCGGTAATGTAGGTGCACAACAAATTAAACATTCAGTGAACAAGACAATTAAGTTCCTCAGAACAAACACAGTAAATCCTTTTGTTATATTGATTGAACATTCAAGCGTTACAGATTTCTCTGCAAAAATAAAAATAATAATAATAATAATTTAAAAAAAACGACTAAAAATCTCAAGTGAAGACGAACATCGGAAACAGTAACGTTGCATGAGACATAAATTTTTATTGTGTGATGTTTCGCGAAGAAGAATTTCGACCATGGTTGCTTGCGCTCAAGGGCAAATATGTTTCATGTTCGAAAACATGTCACGCATACTCGAAGGAGCTTCAGCTACTAATTAGCACAAACAACAATACTCAGTGTTATTTAACAATTTAACTACCCGAAGACCAAACTAAAAGGGCTACTATGCGGTTCAAATGTAAACTTTCGCCTACTAACCAAATCGTGTTTTCTCTCGATGTTTTAAAAGTTCTAAAAGTTTTTACTGGTAACGTGCGCATTGCGAAATCGGGAAACAGCTGCGAAAGCGAATCGAACATTATATATTGATGCCTATACTTAACGAGTCTTCAGTTATCGCATTGTCAACACAATTTCCCTCGCCTGCCAGCTTTTAACCTGAATATAAACTTACCTGATGCGGCAGAGTTCTCGTTTTCGTCCGCCATTCTTTTGAAACTAAACCGCCCCTGTACGAACGTCAAACAAAAAAAACACAAAACAAATATATTACCATGACAAAGCATTAACAACTTAACACACTCTTGAAACCCGATTTAGCAAACCTGCTTTCCACTCCGGGTAGTTTTTCCGTCTTACCCTTATAAATATTAAACGTCTTTTTTTCCTGAATATTGATAAGTGTTCTGACAGTTTGTCAAACGCCCGAGCTGGTGGAGTTTTCGCAAAATTTGGGGCGATAACAGCTTACGTATTTAAATTTTAAGTAGCGGATGCAGGAAATTGCGAATTTCCGCTCCGTCTCTCCTCGAAGAACAGTTACACGTCAATAAACTTGCACACGTGAATTTAGAGACGGTATGAGAGAATTTAAGACTACGATTTCACCGATAAGAAAATACGTACTGTGAACGAAAAGAAAAACAGTGAGGAGCCAAAGCGTGAAAAGAGAAGCAGGTATTTTTGTATTGTATAATTTATTAAAGAACCCGCCAGACAGTTTTATAAAAAAGCTTCCAAGTTCGAAGAGCAGTTGTTAAAAATGTTTTTGTAATAATGTAGCTACAGATAAAAAGGTAATTTTCGCTTTGTTACAGTCAAATTTCAACACCTTTCTTTTGTTCTCGTCACAAATGAAGAAGAACCTCTGTTTCACCTGTGTTTTTAGATTGCCCGAAAGACGACAAAACTGCCGACTATCACACTGAGCGGTAGGGTAAATTTTCAAAGGCTGCAGGTTAACAGTGCAATTTTGCAGGGCAATAAAAAAAACCCCTTCGTTTGTAAACTCATGTATGATCACGTAAAATCTGTCGTATTGTTTAGAACCTTCAAAATGTTAGAATGTGTATCATTACATTATCAATCCAGCTTCGAACTGCTTATAATCTTTTAGCCAAAGTGGCGTCGAAAAGCTAAACAGTTATGGTAATTATTTCCCCAATGAAACTGAAAAAAAAAACGTATTTTGAATTTGAAAGAACCGTCAGATCTCGCTACAATACTGAAAATGAAATGGTTTCAAATAGGTGTCTATTAAATTCTGAGTGCCTGACAACTTTTAGCATTTCCAAACGTTGGATGGAGACAGACTGTCAAGGCGGAAAAATATGTGACATATACATTTTTATCTAAAATTTTCAAGAATCTTCTAGAGGTAAAATTAGGCTTTCTTTCACAAACAAATCAGTATACTTCTTTAGCAGAAAGACGCCATAAAGCTTAACAACCGCTTACGTTACGAGAATAACGGACATGTAAAAATACTTCTTCACGCCTAAAAACAATATTGTATTCGTTGTCAGTATGGAAGATAATCATTCTGTGCTATAGTTTCTACTAAGCGCTAATATATTTCGGGATAAATACTTAAGAACTTCCGAAGAAGTATAGAAACATATTCAATATAAGTTGTAAACATTTTTCCTTACCAAATGTACGGTCTGTTACAACTATACCCTCTTCTGCCCACTCGCTCCTTTTCGTTCGGGAGATCTAACAATTACAGGTAGTTTGGCAGGTAACTGTTTGTTTATTTGCCTCGGGATCAAATTGGGAATATTTCCAACTGATGTGACATCATGCGCTAACGAAAATTCCAGGTCATCCGGAGGGAACGCTTTAGTAACAGACGCGGCAATCTGATTGGTCAATAACACTTCTAATTACTTTGTTAGTGCATGTCTCCATGGCCGAAAGCAAAATACTGCGACATCAGTGACACTTTCAAAATTACCACAGAGCAGAGCGTATCACTGACTAGCCAGTGGAACAACGAACAGCAACATTTTAAACGCGCCAACTCAATTCACATCTCGTTTTCGTTCACTGTAAGGTACTTTTTATCGTTAAGTGCGTATGAAAAATTTTCACGTTTATTTTTCGTTGAAACATAGATTCTCTGGTAAGCAAAATTGAACGATTTTGTCGATTAAGCGATAGGTGAAAATGTTGATGCCATATATCGGACGCGATACGGATAAGATATAGCTCTCAGTTCAAGGATCATTAGTCACTTTGGATTGAGAAGTCCGGATTGCCGATTTCCGATCGAATCAAAGTCGCCATGAGCCACCGGAATTGGAAAATGAATTATGAAAGAATGAATCCCATTGGTCACTTGAACTAACTTGAGCCTGCCGCGATAGTATGATAACCCAGCGGTTCAATAAATATTCAATTTATACAAGGTAATGAACAGGGGTTGATTTGGCGCAGTGGATATAGCCAGCAGCTCATATCAACCCCATTTTAGGTTCATTTTAGGCGAGTCCCACACGGCATAGGACCGTTTTTTTTCCCCTTTTTCTTTTCATATTTTATTTCTCGTGTGACTTAAGCCTGATTTTCACCAGCGACGCAAGCACAAGCGCAAGCACAAACGCAAGCAATAGGGATGACCCAAGTGAAAACGAAATTCGACGCAAACACAAGCACAAGCAAAATCATCCGAACATTCCAAACTGCAGTAGGCGCGAGGTAATCTGGATCCAGTGTTTTCATTGCACAAACATAAATGTCCACGTGTGGTGAATATCCTTGTGCTTGTTTATGACTAAGTGGTATTTCGTTTTCATTTGTTGCAGCGCAAACGCAAGCACAAGAAAAAAGAAAAACTTTTATCCTTGTGCTTGCGCTTGCGCTTGTGCTTATGCCTGCGTCAAGGCCGTTTTCACGGTGAAACAAGAATTATTGTGTTTGCGCTTGTGCTTGCGTTGCTAGTGAAAACCAGGCTTAACGCAAAAGCACAAGCATGTGAAGACAGCAGAACATTAACATAAGTAGATAGGCAAGCGCAAAATAACGAAAATGCATACCAACCCTCCCGGATTGCTAAACAATATGGCGGTGTAAATGTCCGCCATATTGCTTGCGATTTTTTCGCCGAGGTCTGGGTCTAAGTAAATTATGATTGGTAAACGTCCTTGTGCTTAAGCTCGTTCTTTTGTCACCCGCGTTCTCACTAAGACATAAGCATAGCATGAATTAACGAAACAAGCTCGTAAATTCTACTTGTGCTGATGTCTATATTCGTTCTGATGTCCTAAATTATTTATGCTTATTCTTCTTGTAAGAGAATTCCTGCACTACCCGCCAACGTACAAGAACTTTCCACTTCAGTATTGTTTTTCTTTATTTCAATTAGTTGTTTTATATCTTTAGCTCATGATTAGTCAACTTATTTAACTAAAACGAGTTTATACTTGAATTATTTACAATCTCAATGTATACACTTCCTATTGTAAAGTTTTGTTCTCTATCATAACAGCCGTATCTGATATTTAACGTAACATAACAACTTCTAACTGAAATTGCGCTGTTCTACAAATGTCTATTGCATTTTGTTTGTGTTTTTTTTGTTGGTTTTTTTTTGGTACGCTAAAAATTATTATATCATGAAAATCTTTACACAACCGGTCTCACATTCCTTAGGCAAATTGAATTAAGATGTACTTCTTCAACGATCGTGGCATGCATCTTGTCCTGGATCCTTTTGCTCGTTTTTTTTTACATGTATGCATTGTCTTGTGCAACTTGCAACGGCAGATTGCAAGACAAGCTGCACTTAGCACAAAGTCGCAACACACTAGGGAACATGTCGCTGCACCGTGAAGCGGGGACAAGCCCCTGCTTATGTACACATAGGACGTATGTTGCAGGGGAAGTAGATAAGCTGATGCACACGAAGCAGATCGAGACAGAAAAATGTGTTGTAGCGGGGACAGTTTGCAAGAGCAGTGCCCACGATGCGACATTGAAACTTGAGATCATTTTGTTCCTGCTTCAAGACGCACGAACTCAAACCAGCCGGATTTCATGCAACATCTTTCGTGGACAAAGTGTTGTCCCCGTAACAGAAATTTTCCGCAAGAACAGGCATGTCAAACGAGGCACACTGCCACTGCAGCATGTCCTTACACCGTGTCCCTAAGTGTGTGCCGTAAACTTGGACGTTGTTCACTTGTTAAAACCTTACCACTGAACACAGGAGCGGGGAAATTTCCGCCACCAGCTGACACCTTCAAAAACAATTTTAAAATGTGAAAGAGTTACAAAACGTTTAGTTTTCATTGCTTTTAGGAAAAGCTTAGAAAAGAAGTCTTGGCTTTTAATCTAAAAATGGTTTCACATAAGCGACTGAGAGATCGTTGTTTTTAGAAAACTAAAATAGATATTATTTATCTCCATAAGTTAGCAGCATTTTGGAAACGTTGCTGTGTTTAACTATGTCGTCTTAGCTTGCAAGTAACGGGTAATTTTTCGTTGCGTCTCACTTCAAAGGCCTAATAACTTCATGGACACTCCATTCATGTGGGAAAGCGTTCTCCGACTCAGCTTTTAGCTGCATTCTCCGGGAAGCATCACGCCACACTCATTGCAAGTAGTAGTGAGTACGAAAATAGAAGTATGACGTTTGCCAAAGTTGAGCCTGCAGTGTTTTCTAGAGTTGTTCCTTAAATTGAAAAAAAAAAAAAAAAACGAAGTTCCTCTGAGTAGGAAGTTTAGAAAAACGCTCACTTCCGAATGGCCTTTTAAGCCAGCTTCGATCTATCAGTGCTTTTAAGGTTCGCGGTTAACTTATCAATTCAATAGGGAACAAGTATAAGTTTTCTCCGGAACAAGGTCGATAGCAAAGTTTAGGACGTCTGGCTGTCATTCTCCTCTAGCTACTCCCTAGTTCACAAAACCATGGTCTCGAAAGTGACGTCAGTGACATGGCAGCCACGACTTGGCCCCATTTTAGATTTCTATCACGATACAACGAGAATGTTACTGAACAAAAGGCGACCGAGATTTGAACGGGGAAAATGCGCATGGGTACAAGGTTGGATGGGCAGCACATTGATAATGACTCCACGCGTACTTTGTTCATCTTGCGCGCCCTCAAATCAAAAGAATGACGCTACTTCGAAGCCACTTCGATATTCACGGGTTAAATTTTAGGTACATAAGCTGTTCATTGATGATGTTAAGTCAAATATTTTGTTTCAACAGAACCCAAAGATGTCAAAAGTCAGTATCTTTACCTGTTAACTGGTAAATAATGTATCCAGCGACAAATTCTCGCG